CATATAAATGTAAAGTTTTGTAGTATTTCTGAAAATGGTTACAAGTGCAACTGAAGAATACTTATAGTACTATACTACCATTTATGCTGGGATATCAATTCCAAATTCATTGCAATCCCTGCAAATTTGTTTGCAAATTTAATTCACAGGTTGACAGCCTAAAGCCACCAGCAGAATCAGATTTTAACCATAGAATAAGTAAACAGAGAGCTCCTAGCCCACACAGGTGGAAATCACAATTCATGGCTTATCTCAAAATAGAACAAAGGTGTGGTTGAAACCTTTCACAAGTACCTTTGTATTACAGAAGCTAGATCAAGGTTTACTGGCAGATATTGGGTGATACCTATAGTGGAACACAAAGGATTCCTAATTCCCAACTTTGAACAGTAGCAGCTGCAAATTAGGCCTCTGCCCTAAATTATATCACTTCAGGTTTGCGTAACTGGCCATAGGCCTCGTGTTAAAAGAGCTGTAACTGATTTTTGGCAGCCCTAGAGCCTTCTCCCATCAGAATTGCCAAAGATCAATAAGACCAACCAATTTGTCCCATCTTGAGGACCAATACAAAAATGAACTGAACTTTAAAACAAGCTAGTTTAGTTTAAACATACATCCCTATTGATACACACACCCCTATTGAAAATACAAAGGAAAAACAAAGAACAGACAAAATCATCCCAAATAATGGAATAAAGGGACAGATTACAAATTACAAATTAACCTGTAAACTTAACCAATTGTAAAAAAAAAAAAAAAGTAATTTCACAGAAGCAGGGTGATCTCTCTCTCTCTCTCTCTCTCTCTCTCTCTCTCTCTCTCTCTCTCTTTCTCCTCCCTCCCTCCCTTGTGTTGGATGTAGCACATATTTAGTTATCAGGAGATTTACTAATTTTTCCAATCTTAAAAATGAAGGCTGTAAAAAAAATGTGAAAAGAAAGAAAACAGACAAGTACAATTATGGTGACTTTGTGTCCCTGGGATCCCACAGTATGATATCTACAGATGAAAGAATCTTCCATTAATTCAGATCATGGAGAGCAAAAACAGCGGTGTCTTTGGTGATCTCTGAGTTTGGTTATTTGCTTGCAGATGTTTAATTATCCAACTAGATAACATCATCAGAGCTAACAGGGAGTGTGAGCTTTGCTGCCTATTTATATAGAGTAGCTTGCCCTGCCAGTTTTGGTTGAGGTGTAATTTTGTCAAAGAAACCTGAGGAAATATAAATAGGTAGCACACACCTTCCCCCACAGTAATGATGTCACCTAGATGGGTACAGATAGACTTCACTTAATGACTGTCCTGTTTAATGATTGTTCAAAGTTACTATGGTAGTGAGAAAATTAAGTTTATCCCTGTGTTCTGATGGCCAAATCTGGCCTAGGTGACATGGGGATACTTTGCAACTGATGGGCATTTACAACCATTGCTTAACATCTGCAGCAGAACTGGCATAAGTCTGTTACAGTTAGTGGAGTTACTGTTCACAATTGTGCCAAAGTGAGGATTACATGTGATGAAATGCTGCAAGCAAACAGCCAAGCTCAGAGAGCACCATGAACCACAGTTTAAACCTGAGCTACAGGTGTTTTATTCTATTGAAGCAGAGAACTTCCTGCTGTGTCATTTCTGACAATTGTTTACTGCAGGTGTCTTCAAACTTAGCCCTTTTATGACTTGTGGACTTCAACTTCCAGAATTCCTCAGCCAGGCATGCTGGTTGAGGAATTCTGGGAGTTGAAGTCCACAAGTCATAAAAGGGCCCAAATTTAAAGACCCCCTGGTTTTCCATATAGGCCTGTTGGTCTGTAAGAAATATCAAATAATGGACATGTACAAAGTAAGTATTTTACACTGGATAATATTCTGTTCTTACAATATGGCAAAAATTTCCATTTGTTGCAAATGGAAACCCCCTCTAAGAGTTACCAATAATCCCTTTTTTTAGGTATTCATGACATTGCCTTCCTCTGATCATCAGCTTAGGAGTGAGATAGGCATAAAGCTGCTCTTACCTTTGGCAATGTTGAAGTAGTACAGTATATTTCCTTTATGTAGGGCAGGGTTCCCCAACCTTTCCAGGTTGACAGCCCAGGGCAGGGGAGAAAGAGGGATGGTTTTGTGCAAGGGCTAGGTGCACCTGTGCACAGTTTCATTTGTGTGAGTGGTGGGTGTGAGTGCCAGTGCCTGCCGCTCATGTAAGGCTGCGAGCACCGGTGACCACCGCTTGTGTGAGTGTGACTGCAAGCAGCAGTGCCCATCACTCGTATGAATGGGGCTGGGAGTGCCAGTGCTTGCCACTCACACAGCCTGGTTACCAATAGGCCACAGCCCGATAGTGGGCCATGGCCCACAGGATGGGGACCTCTGATGTTGCGTTTTGCTATGGGTTCAGTTTGATACATTTTCTAGACGGTGGGATCAATCCAGCACCTGGTCTTTAGCATGGTGCAATTATATCCTCCAGCACTGTTCTGTACATTCAAAAGTAGCCCAGCTATGTAAGTATCTGAAATCAGCAAAACACTTGTGACAAATCAGAGCAAGTTTTGACAGATGGCTAAACAGCCAGTCAACTCACTTCTTTCCCCAGTCCCTGCTCACATTAGTTAATGAGGCGGGGGAGTGAATGGTAAATGAAGTTGGGGGAATCTTGCAATCTCTGCTTTTACCACGACAACACATTTAACAGTATCTCTCATCTGGCAATATTTGGATCACAAGTTGGGTCAGCAAATTGTATGCTGGAGTCAACATCTGTTCTATTGGCTGAAATCTGTGGATAACACTTTAAGTGGGCTGTGGGGAATGCTCTTTTTCCTATTTGTACGTAAAGGTGACTTGAACACACAGTTGCCTGTCTATGACATTACATTTATTTCCTTTCCAGGTGACAGATGAAACACCCTTAAATTAATTTTAGCCACAATAACACAAAGAAAATTAATTTCTATCACCCTCCCCCCCAGAACCTCAGTTCCAATGCAACCACAAGACGTGAAAAATTTGCAAAAATTGGTTACTAAGATGATTGTAGGAGCGCAAATTGACCCTTAGTCAGTAGTAGCAGGATAGGATTCGGCAATGGAAATAGCTACTTTTATATGGTTTGGTTTTGTGGATAACTTCTCAATAGTGGGGAAAGACTCTAAGAAAATTTAGAGCATCAAATAAACTGGGAATTTCTTCAGACTGTATTCTGAGTATGGCTAACTCAGAAGCCTTGTCGCGTCTTTCCTCTCCCAGCCATGGCTGACATTCTGTCTTCCCTGATTTTGAAGTAAGTTTCCAAGTAAATTTAAAACAGTTTACACTGCAGGCATTTTAAGAGACCAAGGCTGTTTTCACCTTCTCCACCCTTTTCCTCTGACATGTTGCAGTTAATGCCTGCTTACTCAGCATCCTGCCCAGGCAGAAACTAAATGCCATCTTTGCCTGGTCTTTCCCAGTGAACATTTACTAGCCTCCCTAATGCTTTTAAATAGATTTAATTTCTATTAAAATCATAAAGCTGCCTCCTCCCGTGAATGGACTCTATTTTTTCATATATTTAACCAACCCCATTCATAATGACATCAAATTATATTATTGTTGCTATACTGAAGCACACAGTACATTTAATACAAATCCTAGTTGCTTTGAATAGTCAGTTTTAAGGGCAAAGAAGAAACAGGATGGGTGGTTATCTACATATCTGGGTGTGAAAACTGAAAGCATGTCATCACTTCAAGCACACGTGCGCACACTCATCTGTCAGCCCTGCCCACTTTAATAACCCTTGCCTTCTCAGTGGAATTGATGCATTGTTTTTGGAGGTATCAAAATGAGACAGGTGGTGAGTATTTTTCCAAAGATCCTAACTGCTGCCTTTTATGAAACAGCAGACAACAGGTTTGTCATTATGGGCCACCTTGAGTAATAAATATAGGGCTGGTGTTATGAAAAATATACGTTGGGAGGGGTTAAATCTATTCTAGGTGATGCCTGCAAATTTTCCACTGACCCAGTTGTAGAGGGAGGATCTGCTGAAGGGTCCTCAGCGTGGGGATGAAGCAGCAGACCTTTCTCTGATGGAATACTTTCTCCCCAAGCCAGTTTCTTAAAATGGCTAAGTTTAGGGAACATTGCCTTAGAAAGCCTAAGTAGCACTTACTTTGCTGCAACAGGCAAAAATTGCTTTATTTGTATGTCCTTTCCATCCCATGAATTTTATGCAGGACCTTTAGCATTACTACCTATAGTTATGCTTTGTTTTGAGATATATATATATATATATATATATATATATATATATATATATATATATATATATATATATATATAGCAAAATAGAAATATAATAACTTAAGGCAGAGAACATACCTAATTCTGCTTCCTACTTCCCAATTTCTGTGAGGTGAGAAAGTATAACTGGCCGAAAGTCATACAGGTGGTTTATATGCCTGAAACTAGAACTCAAAGTGTTCTAGTTTCTAGGCCAACCCCTTAACCCTTACCCCAGTTGTTTTCAAACTTGGCAATTTTAAGATGTGTGAAGTCGACTCCCAAGATGCCCCAGATAGCATATTGTAAGTTGAAATCCACACATCTTAAAGTTGCCAAGTTTGAAAAACACTGTGCTACAAACTATCTCTTTTTGTTCTGGTTTTGCTATTTATTATATTGTTCTTTTTGTTGCTTTCCTTCTGTTATGCAACCTAGAATTTTTTCAGATTTGATCTAAGTAGCATAAAATATAAAGAAATATCAGAGATTTATTCCTGGTGACTTGGTGGCCATGTTCATGTAATTTTCTTGGCAGCAATACTGTATGGCAGTGCTTTTGATTCTTTTAGGATGCTTTCCAGCATCCCATCTAGCCTAAAATCCTGTACCAATCAGGTCCACCTTTCTTAAGTTTTTTTTTTTGAGAAGAGCCAATGGGAGCTAGATTTACAGCTATTTGGTAAAAAGTGCAAAGATATGAAAATAACGAAATACACAATCAACTTCCCAACCTTGGACATATAGTTACTCTTTTTCATCTTCTTTTCCACCTTCTTTCACATTTTGCTGTTTTCCACCTTCTTCTACGTCGATTTAGGGAAACACAGATTATTGTTAGGTTAACACAGTCATTGTTAGTTCCTTTTCCGAATGGACGCTCTCTGTTCAAAATCCGCCATATATCACTGTCATTGAATAGATTTGTAATATCAATTACAAGAAATAATTCCAGCATGATCTCTTATGGAGCAAAAAAATAATTCAGTGCAGTAAAACAAACAGGTTAGTCTTTCTTCCTCCAATAATCCTTCGAGCGAAGCCGAATAGATTTTATACGTAGTACATATATTCTTTGACTAGAAACGCATTTTGTCACCTGAGGAATATTGACCCTCGTACGCTTTCCGTCACGGTGCGCAGGCGTATCAGGCTCCTTCCTTTCGGTAGTAATGGCTGCCCCCACAGGGACCTTGCTTCTGTTACTTCAATGGCGAGGATTGATTTTATCCCGCCTGGATGTGGCAAAGAGGCGGGTCGGTGCGATTCGATTCAGCTCCGCGGAAGCCGCTGCGGTATCCCTGGGAGAGCTGCAGGCTGCTGGCGGCATGGCGCAGACGAAGGGTAAAACGGGAGTCTTTTATTTTTCGGAAGGTAGACTGGAATCGGCTAGGGAAGAGGCGAACTCCTTTCGTTAGGCCTTTCCTCGAGATCGGCTAGTGTAGATTTTCGAAATAGCGTGGGTAGGGGAGGAATGCCGTTACTCTTTACGGTCCGTAGGTTTTACCTACGAAGAATAGCACTATGCAAAAAATTAGAGGGGCCTATCCGAGAGGGTGGCATTGGAGAAAGCGGCTCGGGAGACAGGAGGGCTTCGAGGAGATGCCTAGGCTGTAGGAGGAGATATACGGAGCATTTTGCTTTCATGACAACCTCGTCAACTGTACCTTATTTGAACAGACAACGAACGAACCGTAAGAGTTAAAATATTGGATTGAAACCTAGCAGCATAGCGAAAGATTTGAAATAATCCCGAAGGTGCTTTTTCAAAAGGAAACTGGACTCTTTGTTTTTCCTTCCATGTCTTCAAGGAAAAACAAAGACAGTCCAGTTGCCTTTTGAAAAAGCACCTTTGGGACAACCCTGGCCTGGATGACTGAGAATTTCCATAGACTTTAAACCAAATAAAATTCTATAAACGGAACAACTCGCCTTAAATAAAATTTAAAATATTTTTTAAATTTTTTTTTTTTTAAAAAAGGGTGATTGTTTTCCCCAAATACAAGTGTTGATATTTTAGAATCACCATAGCAGTGCACTGCAATCACATTAAGGTGTTGTTTGTTTAGCTGACAATAGTTAATGTGGTGGCTACTTTATTTATTTTTATTCTTTATTTGTATCCCACTTTTATTATTTGTATAAATAATTCATGGCAGCAAACATATCCAGCACATCATCTTCCTATTATTCATAATTAATATTAATAACCACTATTATATAGTGGTTTATTTCAGTATTAAGAATGTATCCTTTTTAGCTTCCTGGGTTTCACTAAAAAAGGTTCAGAAACACCTCTGATAATTTTCAGACCCATAAACACAAAGTCAGAGATGCCATAAAATTGGCTGACCTTCACTCTAATATCCATATCAATAAAATGCAGGTAAGTCAAAATTTTCAGATGCTTCATTCTGTTACTGCATATTAGATATATTTCCATTTCAACTGCAACTGTTGACAGTACAGCTGTTTTGATGTGAGCACTTACATCTAAAGCTTTCTTTACAACATATTCTTTAAGCATTACCCAGAATATTGAATACAAATAGTTCTCAACAATCATTCATTTACTCACTGAAGTTATAATGGCACTGAAAAAAGTAACTTATGACATAATCATTGCAACATTCTTATGGTCATGCAACCAAAATTCAGATGCTAGGCAACTGGCATATATTTAAGATGATTGTAATGTCTCAGGATCATGTGATCACTTTTTATAATCTTTTCCAAGCAAAGTCAATGGGGAAGACAGATTCATTTAACAACTATGTTACTAACTTAATAACTATAATGATTCACTTAACAAATGATAAGAAAGGTCATTAAAAAGGGGTAAAACTCATTGAGCTTGCTTAGCAACAGAAAATTTTGGTTCGATTTGAGCTCAGTTAAGACTACCTATAATAAAAAAAATCTACAATTAGATTCATAACATTTCCAAAGCCATGGGTTTTCACCGGCCTTCCTATTCTGTTCTGCAAAAGAAGCACATATGTGATTGACCCAATAAATAGTCTCAGGTCTAAATTTAGCTCTGACATAATGTATGCTTTGCTACAAAAATTAGCATATACCCAAAGTCTGCCTTCAACTGACAAAGTATTGGTAAAACTGCATATTTCTGTGTTATAAGTCAATGTTGGAATAGTCTTAACCTTGAAAACTTTTTAAACTGGATATGTTGAGGCTGGGTATTTCCAAATTAAAAGCTTATTCAGTAACTAGCAATATGCTACAAATCTCAGTATGCATCTCTCTTGTTCAGTTCCCAAGTATGCTGAGTGTGGAATTCTGGAATTTGAAGTGCACATACCTTAAAATTGGAAAATTGAAAAACACAGCTTTAGTTTCATAACCAAGAATTTGTAGGAAAAAAGGCCATCCAAGATAACATTTAATGGTCTGCATCCTTGTTATTCTGATATTATTTATATAAAATAATATATTTTTTTCCTTTTAACCAAGAATATTATTAGATTAAGCATATTTCATACCAGATTATTCTCCAATCTTTCTGAAGTTCCTCTTAAAACATTTTAATAAATAACATTGAGATCAATATTATCCATATAAATCTGTCCAGCCAGCCTAGAGAAACTTGAATCGTGCAGAGTGACATGGTGTCATTTGCATAAGTGCTAAATTAAAAATAAAACTAAAAATACAATTTTGTTTGAAATGACCTGAGTTCTTTGATTTCCTTTTTACAACTGCTTTCTCGTGATTTTATAGTCCTTATCAAATTATACTGAGATTCTTTATTTTATATTAGGTGGTTTTAATTCAAAGATTCATTTAAAAAAAATTAGATAATGACAAAACCATACATTGACAAAATAACGTGTAGAGTTTATGTCATGTTGAACTATCTCTGCATTTTTCTCCATTTTAATCTCTTTTCATGAGGCTTGCAGTGGATATGAGTCTTGCATCAGAATCCCTCATTAGGTTTATTGATACTGATTGATGATCACTATCCTCTTGCGTCTTGTTTTATAAACCTAGAAGAATAATAACTTTTTCCTTCTTATTTCAGTCAGTTTGGGAGGGGGCAGGCAGACAGTATATCGAGTCAATTCTTTCAAAATATCTGCTCTTTTTTGAGGCTAGCCACTCATATGCTCACTTCATCTGTTCAAACTACATTCAGGTTTGGTTCCTAACCTCTCTAGTTCACATTGCCTCTTAATCCCTCTGGAAATTTGTTATGTAGTGATAAAATGTTATTTTAGCTATTGTAAATGCTAACAAACATACCAAACATATGTGCACCTGATCAACCCAATCTACTTCTCTTAATAAATTTGCTATGTTATCTGTGAAATATTTTATAAAGAACAAGTCAGAGAAGTCGTATAAGAGGGGTTCAGGAGAAGTACCACCCTAGTGCTATGCTTCCCAAACCTTTTCTTCAAGTACCCAAAACTGCTTACAGGTAATCCTCAACTTAAAATCATTCTTTTAGTGACCATTCAAAATTAAAACGGCACTGAAAAAAGTGACTTATGGCTATTTTTCACACTTACAATCATTGCATCATTCTTATGGTCACATGATCAAAATTCAGATGCCTGGCAACTAGCATGTATTTATAACGGTTGCCATGTTTCAGAGTTATGTGATCACATTTTGTGATCTCCTAACAAGCAGAGTCAATTAAGATATCAGCTTCACTTAACAACCTTGTTACTAACCTGACAACTGCAGTGATTCAATTAACAATTGTGGCAAGGAAGTTTGTAAAATGTGACAAAATTCACCTAACAAATGCCTTGCTTAGCAATGGATATTTTGGTCTTAATTGTGGTCGGTCATAAGTCAAGGACTACATGTATTCATTCAATTTCTGTAGCCTCCCATCTCAACTAATGACTGAGGGCTTACAATTCCCAAACTAACAATTTAAACAATAAAACCCAAAATAAAGATATACAGAAATAAAGATAATTAACCAGTTAACAGCAATGCCAGGAACTAGAGCCTTTACTACATTTAGAACTCCAGGCTTTTATCAAAAGTCCTTTTTACCCAATGTAGATAAAACACTTTAAGTCAATTTAAATGTTCACGGTGTTGTGTTTGGGTAGTAGGTTCACATTATTACCAAACATTTTTACTCAGCTTTGGGTAATTTACTCCTGTATGGGAAGTACTGATCTAGTGTCTACTTTTTGTATTTTAAAAATAAGGATTATGTCTGATGCCAGACTGCTCCCCTGAAAAAACAAAGCACCCTTTTTGATATCTCATCTAAGTTTCTCACATTAGTCTCTTGTTCTCCAAATCTAGATAACAAAAGTGACTCCAGGAAAAAGACATTCAGTGAAATTCTTGCAGAAAGACAAGAACAAGCACAGAGGACTGTGTTAATAAATTGTCCCCCCAATTTCAATGCCAAGGCTTTTCTCAAATACTTACAACATCATGGAAATATTAAGAATCATTTCTTCTATAAAAGTAAAGTAAGTATTTGAAAGGTTAGCAACTGAAATCTAAATATTTAAGGTGTATGTACTTCAGATAGAAAAGGCCTCAATGGATGAGTTTAAGAAAATCCATTATTCTGCTTTGTTGTTGTTGTGGATGGGCACAGTAATTATTTTTTGACATTCTTTCCCCCCCCCCCAAAGGGTCTTAAAAGAAGTTAACTAAGTATATCAATCTAATAGACATAATTGTCTGAGTTGCAGGTCAATTTAACTGTTAAATCTTAATCCTTTAAATCAGGGATGTCAAACTCGCAACGTCACCTGACATGTCATGATGTATCACAATTTTTTTGCCATTGTCGGCAATGGGGTGGGTGCGGTTTCGCTATGATGCATCTGGCCTGCAGCCCAGCAGTTTGACACCCCTGCTTTAAATAGTTCATCTGTGTTCTCAAATTTAAGCTCTTATTCCTAATTTTTTTTCCTGTTTCTTCTCTCATATTGCTTCAGGCTATGTATGCAGTCATAGAATTTTCTGAGAAACAAAGCATAACTTCATTGCAGGATGTCATTACAATTCCAGAATTTAAGGATGAACACCCTGTTCCATTTAAATCT